GAGGAGAAGGGATTGCAGCATGGCCATCCCCCCTGGCGGGTGATTTCTCGCTTTCTGTCTCTATGTCTCTGTCTGGCGAGCGCACGCACCCTATAGCAAAAATCTCTCAAAAAAAAAAAAAAAAGTGAGGGAGGACACGCGGACAGTATTCACTTTTGGCCTTGAACCAAGGAAACCGGCTTTCTTAACCCGACCTTCCGAATCTCCTCACAAAACATGTAAAAGCAGGCGGCGAGCTCTGCCCGGAGAACCATGACGGTAGCATCTAGTTGCAGATGTGTTTGATCTCAGATCCCCAGGGATCCACGGGATTAACCCTTGGGCCTCAGGACGAAGTCACAGTGCTGGCTTTGGACTCGGCCTATGGCTTGCCGTTCATGCGGCTGTTACGTAGAAGCCCCAAAGTCCCAAGCCTCAAACCCAGCACTGGGTGACTGTTCTGTCCGTCAGACACGGCGCGGCAGAGCAGAGGAGGCCTAGCACAGAACAGAATTTACGACGGCAGGAAGTTGGGGCCGTCTGTGTCCCCTTAACATGCAGAAAGGTCACGTAGTTTAGAACATGGGAGTTTAAGGACACTGCCAGAGCAAGGGGAGAGGGCCTGCACTTTACGTGTTCTGTGTTCGGGAGCGGGGCCATGTGAGCTGTTGGGTTTGAGCTAATTAGCAAGCCCCGTGTGTGGGGCCACAGGGGAAGTAAAGGCCCTGGGCTCCCACAGGGCTGTCTGCGGTTCACCTTCCCTCTCGCTCTGGTGGGTGCATCTGCCCCATAGCGCATTTTTTAAATAGTTATTCTTAAAAAATAAAAATATTCAGTGTGCATCTGTGCAATTCTAAGGGTGTGGCCATTTCCAGAGCTAAGACTCCTTCTTTTTGTTTTTTTGCAGGTAAAAAGGGGTCACTATGGAGTTCAAAGGACAGAACTCCTGCCTGGTGACCGGGACAACCTGGCCATTCAGACCCGGGGTGGCCCAGAAAAGCATGAAGTAACTGGCTGGGTGCTGGTGAGTCCTGAGAGCTGGCAGGGATGTCCTTAGGCTGAGATAGGAGCAGGCTTGTCCAGGGGGCCCCCCCCCCCGGCACCGGCAGCCCGAAAGGACCGTCTCTTCCCCCTCTGGGAACAGCCCACCACAGCTCGCTGCTCCTCTTCCAGAGGGACGAGAGGAGGAGCTGAGCTTTATTGTTTTAGAAACCATTTCTCACTTTCGGCACCTCTCTCCCTCTCCCTCTCCCTCTCCCTCTCTCTCTCTCTCTCTCTCTCAGGGTGACCGCACATGCCCTATAGTGAGTGAAAAGGAAAAAAAAATGTTTGAAAGTTCATGGGAAAAAAACTGCAGGGATTTCTATTTTTTCACATCAAACTTTGTTTTTTCATCTTTTTTTTTTTTTTTTGAGAGGTTTTTGCTATAGGGCGCAGAGAGAGAGAGAGAGACAGAAAGTGAGAAATCACCTCCCAGGGGGGATGGCCGCACCACAATCCCCTCTCCTCCATTCTCCTCTCGGGATCTTGGGCACGCACGCACACACGCCCAGCGTGAGTTTAAGCCACTGGGTCCGGGACTCGAACCACAGTCGACTACGTGGGAGTCCAGCAACATAGCCATTACGCTAACTGCTGGTCCCCTGTTTTTTTGTCTTTTCTGAATACTCATAGTTGGGATCAGCAGTGCTGGACATTCCCACCTGGCCAACCACAGTTTGAAACCTGAACCTGGTGGCTTGTTTTATCACTTTCTCTCTCTCTCTCTCTCTCTGGTGAAATTAAAGAAATAAAAAATAAAACAAATTAAATTAAATTAAAGACTCATAGCAAAGATACTGCTTCCCTATAACAAAAAGAAAAAAAAAGCTTCATGGGTTAATGAGAACTTTTTTTTTTTTCCTAAGAGTTCAAAGCAAAAATCCTTAAAGAACTAAACGATCTAAGTAGTATTTGATTATTAATATTTTATTTTACTTGGCTGTTGATACTCACGGATGGGCTTAGGTCACACCGTTACCAGCACTCCCCTCAGACTCAGGCGTGATCTAAGTAGACCGTCTAAGAGGGAGCCACGCCAGAGAACACATCCACCCCATTTTAGATTTTTCTCTCTCGCTATAGGGGAAGCAGTCCCTTTGCTATGAGTCTTCTGGCGCTTTAGGGCTCACCAGAGAGACAGAGAGCGTCAGAAATCACCCCCAGGGGGTGGCCGAGCCCCAACCCCTTCTCCGGCATTATCTTCTCATTATTTTGGGCGTGGATGCACACGCACCCAGTGAGCTTCTAAAACTACCGGGTCCAGGACTCGAGCAGCACAGCTGGCAGTGTGGGATTCAGCTGCTTTAACTTCCATGCCGCCTGGGGCCCTTCCATGAACTTTTGTTTAAAAAAACCTTCATATTCCTCAGAATGAGTCCTCTGAGCCACCCAAACATGTAGCTGAGTGTCCCGGCATGACTTGCACGATGTCTGGCAGCTCCTTTGCTGTGTCTTCCGGTCATCTTAGGAGTTACTTAGGAAATGACGACCTGTCGCCACTGAGAGAGGCGACCGCCAGAGGGACTGAAGGATTTTTCTCCCCCAGGTATCTCCTCTCAGTAAGGAAGACGCCGGAGAATACGAGTGCCACGCGTCCAATTCCCAAGGACAGGCTTCCGCGTCGGCAAAAATCACAGTGGTGGATTCCTTACATGAAATACCAGTGAAGAAGGGTATGTAACACATGTCACAGCCACTTAAAAATGGCCGGTGCTTCTGCTGAAGAGACCAGCGGCACGACGGCAGGAGCGGACACAGCCAACATAGCCGCTCCTCTGACGGCCCAGCACGGCCACTCCGGGCGTAAGACAGTGGCCGCTGGGGCCTAGGGCCAGTTCTCCAGGCAGATAATCCGCTCTGTCTGAGGCTCAGGAACCCGTAAGTCAGGCTCTGTCTGGTCCCCAGTGGTTAGCGTTCACTACGAGCAGCCCTGGTGATCTGCGAGACTGCCTATTTGTTTACAGTTACCTAGTTTCCTTTAAACCCCTTCACTGTTCAGAATTTTTATTACACCAGATTTATATTATGCTTGTGCGTGGTGTGCCTTGCCACTTTCTGGCACTTACCTAATACAGGCTTTTTCTATGAATGGAATTGAGTCTAGAGTGGTGCTACATGGTATCTATTGAAAAACACACGCCCGGGGACCAGCAGATGACATAATGGTTACATCACTGGACTCCCACATGGACAACTGCAGTTCGAGTCCCGGACCTGGAGGCTTGAAACTCACACCTAGCGGTCCCGGACCTGGAGGCTTGAAACTCACACCGAGCGCACGTGCATGCATGCCCAATATCCCAAGAGAATGGAGAAGGGATTGCAGCATGGCCGTACCCCCAGGGGGGTGACTTCTCACTCTGGTGAACACATGCGCCCTACAGTAAAAATATCCCTTAAAAAAGAGAAATGCATGCCGCACGGCACCAGGTGACACTACGACACGTCCGCCTTTAAGCTTCTCCCTTATTGACAACTTGCTCAACAGCCCGATCGCAGGAACAGAGCTTGGCCATCACGAGTGCCTGTAATGAGATTCCGTAAGGTCGGGAATCCACGTGGTACGCTGCTAGACGCGGAGCACCTGGCTCCACGGGTACCTGGACGGCTGACCAGATGCCATGACGACGACTTAGATGCTTTCGCCCGATCTTACGCCGAGTCAAAACCCAACTCGAGTAGAACTGCTAGTTCCACAGAACTCTACCTACCCGGCATTTCCCCGTGTCGAGACTATACTAAACTCCTATTTTAAGAGGAAATGACGGTGGCCAATTCTACTCCTTCATTTTAAACTTTTTATGAGAGGCCAGAATATTGGCAAATAGCCGATTTTGTACTGTTCTATTTCACTCCGAGGAACTCACCCTGACGGTGTCACACTTTACACTTGCACAGTTCTACCAGACTAAAGTTTGAACCGGCTTCCCCTATGCCGAAAGAAAGAACAAAACTCCCTGTCAGCGGTCGTCAAATCAATCCACTAGCAGATCGCTCAGCCGTGACAGGAAAGAAAATGGCTGGTGAACAGGTGCTTGCTCAGTCTCTTCAGCCAAGAGCTGGAAAGCCAGGCGAAGAGACGGCAGGAGCTGAGTCCGGTCGTGCGTGAGTCTCAGCCCTGCCGCTGACTATCCTCCCGCTGTGATTCCGAGTGAGAGCTGGTCCACACAGGGTCCCTTAGTCTCTCTGGATCTCAGCTTGGCCACGTGGGATGTGCTCCTCCGGTTCTATAAATTTTTTTAAGTCTGTGTACTTTTTTTTTTTTTTTGGAGAGGTTTTCGCTATAGGGCGTGTGTGCTCGCCAAACAGAGAGAGACATAGAGACAGAAAGCGAGAAATCACCCCCCAGGGGTGATGGTCACACCGCAATCCCTTCTCCTCCATTCTCCTCTCGGGATTTTGGGCATGCACGCACACGCGCCCGGCGTGTGTTTTAAGCCACCGGGTCCGGGACGCGAACCGCGGTTGACTACGTGGGAGTCCAGCGACATAGCCATTACGCTAACTGCTGGTTCCCGCGCCTGCCTTTTACATACAGGCCAATACAACAAAATTGTCCTCTGTAGCTAAAATCCCACAGCTCAAACGCTACGGCACTCCAGTGTATCGCTTTACGGTCCCCACAGATCCTGTCTATGTATTCCATGAAAAACAGAGATAAGGATCCTTGTGCTGCAATCCACTCCCAGCCTCTGCCAACCCAGGCCACAGGCACAAGCTCACACCTGGCATGCCACAGATACTTCAGGACATGACCCAGGACCTCCCCATGTAGCCTGAGCCTCACTGCTGGCCTCCACATTGTTATTTTTTAAGGTTTTTGCCATAGGGCAGAGATACACTTGCCAAGAGACAGAAAAAGAGACTTGGAGAGGGAAGGTGAGAAATCACCTCCCACGGGGGATGGCCACACCACAATCCCTTTCTTCCATTCTCCTCTCAGGATTCTGGGCACGTGCACACACATGCTCTCAGTGTGATTTTCAAGTCCTGGGTCAGGACTCAAACCACGGTCGGCCGTGTGGGAGTCCAGTGCCGTAACCACCACACCATCTGCTGACACCAGCCTTCACATTTTAACGTCGTCATTAATTTGGAAACATTAGACAGCCTGACAATCAGAAAGTCAAGAATGTCCATATATGTAACTAATTTTTATCTTTCTCTTTTTACAAACAGGTGAAGGTGTGGAGCTATAAACCTGTAGAGCTGAAAGTCCTGGAAAACTACAATCCCCGTTCTTGCCTAATAAATTCCTTTTAATCCAGTCCACTAACATTTTAGTTATATTCACTGGTTTTACACAGAGAAATACAAAATAAAGGTAACACATCAAGACTATCTACAAAAATTTATTATCTATTTACAGAAAAAAAGCATGCATATTATTAAACAGAACAAATAAAAAATCCTTTCTATCACAACACAGCATGTACTTGTCATTTTTTAAAGCCATAGAGAAATAACACACAGAAGTATTTATCAGTATCTTGTTGAGTATCTTTTAAAAGAGCTAAACGCTCATCATTCGAGGTGCAATACTCATAGACATAAGTTCCTGGAACAACAGTTTGCACGCATACGGCATTCGCACCAATGAAATCTGGAGGAAAAAAAAAGATAATTAGCAGAACTGAATCAAAGTGACCCACTTCTCTACCCTCCGTAACAACATGGCACCGTGGACGGTGACCAGTGCAAGCACCGAGAGCACCCATCCTGCCACCTTGGCATACGGGTTCATTCTCCCGACAGGCTGTGGACTTCTCCCTTTCTGCCCAACAAAATTTCTACTCACCCCTGCCCCATTAAATACCGTCATTTACACTTCCTATAAGACTTATTATTTCCCAAAGTTGAACAGCTCAGAGAAAATACCACACCAAAACTTCAACTGGTTTTTACAAAAGTTATCTTTTTCCTCATTTAAAACTAGTACTCAGAGAGTGTGCTATCAAAATGTGAAACATGCCGGGAACCAGCAGTTAGAGTAATGGCTATGTCGCTGGACTCCCACGTAGTCGACCGCGGTTTGTGTCCCGGACCCGGTGGCTTAAAACTCACGCCGGGCGCGTGTGTGTGCATGCCCAAGATCCCGAGAGGAGAAATGGAGAAGGGATTGCGGTGTGCCCATTGCCCCTGGGGGGTGATTTCTCGCTTTCTGTCTCTATGTCTCTCTCTGTCTGTCTGGCGAGCGCACACGTCCTACAGTGAAAATCTCTCCAAAAAAAAAAAAAAGTGAAACATGCCAATCTGTCCCACCACAAGCAATCTGCCCAACCTGGGCATACTCTAAACAAGTACCAGCAAAGCCCACCTACCTGGGTTTTATTGCGACAGCCCCTGCACTCGTACGTGTGGGTCCTGGTGTTCGCAATTGCCATTATTCCACAAAGATTGCAAACGTGAACCTGATACGGATCTGATGCCTCAAACAACCTTTCCCTTAAAAACTGAGCTGCTCCATGGGCAATCTGACAATCTCGTTCCATTTCTCCAAAACGCAGGCCACCATCACTGTTAAAAGGAAAACAACAGATTATTTTGTGCTTTTTTTTTTTTATTATAAACACATGACTAACAGGAAAGAATGACAATAAAGATGAGGGGGCAGCTCTAATTTTTATACCCTAACATTCTGTCTACCTGGCCAGGTGGGAGAAGTCTATCAACTACTTGATGTACATAAGAAGGTCCCCAAGTGGAGTAGACACATTAGAGTCTCAAGTACATCATGTAATTTTCCTCATAAAAATACAATGAGGGAACCAGCAGTTAGCGTAATGGCTATGTCGCTGAACTCCCACGTAGTCGACCGCGGTTCGTGTCCCGGACCCGGTGGCTTAGAACTCACGCCGGGCGCGTGTGCGTGCATGCCCAGGATCCCGAGAGGAGAATGGAGGAGAAGGGATTGCGGCGTGACCATCCCCCCTGGGGGGTGATTTCTCGCTTTCTGTCTCTATGTCTCTCTGTCTGTCTGGCGAGCGCACGCGCCCTACAGTGAAAATCTCTCAAAAAAAAAAAAAAATACAATGAGATACAAAGTAGAGGCTCATAATACTCTCATTTAACTTTCAAGAATTCAACTCTAGGAATCAGCAGATGGCATATCAGTTATGTCACTGTTATGTAGTCGACTACAGTTCAAGTCCCAGACCTGGCAGCTTAAAACACGCGGGTGCATGGGCATGCGTGCCCAAATCCCAAGAGGAGAACAGAGAAGGGATTGAGGTGTGGCCATCCCCTCTAGGGAGCGATTTCTCGCTTTCTGTCTCTCTCTGTCTTTCCAGCAAGCACACGCACCCAATAGCAAAAACCTCTCTAAAAAAAAAAAAGGATTCCACTCTAAACTCAAAGATGAGTAAGTCGATCTAAGTAAACCAGTAACCAGTTTCTCAATGAATGAGTCTCTCCTGCAATCAAGCCTAAAATGATAAAAGTATATTGCCAAAGAAATTTGGCAAACAGGTGAATAGTTACAGGTTTCCCCTAAAAAGTGAACCGTGTTATTCAAATGGCCAGGCAAATGAATGGTGATGACTCCCTTAGCCTTCTTAACACACACACACACACACAGTAAGATGAAAGACAAAGGGCTTATAATGGCATTACCCCCAAAAAATCGATCACTGGTCAACTTTGGAGAATGCTAGACAACCAACTCGTTATTATGAAAACTGTTAAATAAAGGGAAAGAATTGGGACCAGCAAGTGGCATGGAGATTAAGGTAGCTGGATCCCACATGGCCAATTTGAGCCCCATATGTGGAGGTGGCTTGAAAAACATGCCTGAAGTATGTACATGTGTGCTCAAAATCCCAAGAGGAGAATGTAGAAGGCACTGCAGTGTGGCCAACTCCCTGGGAGGGTGATTTCTCATCTCCATTGCCCCACCTGCCATCTCTGCCAAGTGCACATGCCCTGAGTTAAACATACATTTATTCATAAATACATAAATAAATATATGCATAAATAAATAAATGGAAAGACTCAAGTATTTGGGGACCAGCAGATGGCATAATCGTTACATCACTGGACTCTCATGTAGTCGACCACAGTTTAAGTCCCAGACCCAATGGCTTAAAACTCACACTGGGTATGTGTGCGTCCATACCCAAAATCCCAAGCGAAGAATGGAGGAAAAGGGATTGTGGGGTGGCCATCACCTTTTAGGGTTAATTTCTCTCTGTCTCTCAGTCTCTCTGTCTCCAGTGAGTGCAAGCACCCTATAGCAAAAATCTCTCTTAAAAATTAAAAAAAAAAAGTTTGTTTTCATTTATAAAGGATCAAGTATTTGTTCTGCCCCACTACAGGAACTATATTACAAAGTAATTGAAGAGTTGAGGAAACAAAACTTTAGAAATAGTCCAGTTAATAAATGGAGAGTGATAAAAATTAAGATCCCATCAATTTGCAAGCTCTATTTTTTTGTGAGAGAAAGTGTGCACTTGCCAGAGAGAGAGAGAGAGAAAGAGAGACAGAAAGCGAGATATCACCCCCCAGAAGGGATGACCACACCACAATCCCTTTTCCTCCATTCTCCTCTAGGGATTTTGGACATGCACACACACGCTTCCAGCGTAAGTTTCAAGCTGCCAGGTCTGAGATTCGAACCACAGGTAGGCCATGTGGGAATCCAGGACGTAACTGTTACACCATCTGCTGGTCCCTTGCAATCCAGATTTAATCAAAAGCTTTAGGCAATGATAATTAATAGCTGTTAAAGTCATAAAAAGAAAGACAATCTATCGGAAGTGCAGAGCACCACCTCTTACCGCCAAAACACTCAAAGCCTAAGTCTCTGCAAGCCTCTAATCTAACTAGTTTACAAGGAAATCAGAAATGTAAAGCACAGGGATACAACCAGTGAAACGCACTGAGAAATCTTCCTGGACAAGCAATCCAGTAAATCTCATGGGGGAAAAAAACTGGACAGCAATCCAGAGATTTTTTTTTTAAAGGATTTAAGAGACTAGTCAATTGATTACAAAGACAGATCTTATTTGTATCCTGATTAAAACCAAAAAAACAGGACCAGCAGATGGCATCCATCACTGGCCTCCCACATAGTGGACCACAGTCTGAGTCCTAGACCTAGGGGCTTAAAACTCATGCCAGGTGCATGTGCGTGCGTGCCCAAAATCCCAAGAGGAGAATAGGGGAGAAGGGACCGCAGCGTGGCCATCCCCTCTGGGGGATGATTTCTTGCTTTCTATCTCTTTATCTCTCTTTCTTTCTCTCTTGGCAAGCGCACGTGCCCTAATAGCAAAAACCTCTCTAAATAAATAAACAAACCTTTAAAAAATGATGCAATGAACAGGGAAATTTGAACACTAAATATGTAATAATGTTAAGGAGCCACTGTGTGTGGTTAAGGTTATTTTAACATTCTTTTTCGTAGAGGTTTTTGCCATAGGGCTCATGCACTTGCCGGAAAGAGACAGTGAGAGGAAAAGGGAGAAATCTCTGTTTTCAGAGAGGCCAGCCACAACACAGTCCCTTCTCCAGGGATCTTGGGCACACACACGCACATACGCACACACATGCGCCCAGCATGATTTTCAAGCCACTGGGCTTGAGAATGAACTATGGTCAGCCACGTGGGAGTCCAGTGATAGAACCACTACGCCATCTGCTGGCCTAGGTTCATTTTTTAACATACTAATCATTTAGAGCAAAGGTCTGCAAAGTATGGTCTGTGGCTCTCCTGAGGACCAGAACTATTTGTATAAGAATACTAACAGCATAGTACCTGTTTCTATCAGTGTCGATGAGGTACTGATGGTGCAGTGAGTAAACTGCTGGTTCCTCAGCACAAACTCAGGCAGTAGAGCCAAACCTTAGCAGTCGTGCTCTCCACTCAAGTGAAGGGGACCATGGGGAGGGCCAGTTTCACTTAAGAGTGCCAGCAGTGGTACTATAAAAATTACTAGCTTTCTTACACTTTGGCCATGAGTAGACCTTTTTAATACTCTATGACAAAATGGAAATTCTCAGAAAGCATTTCTGCCATACAGTGAAGTTAGTTAGCAGTCCTGAGAAAACGCATTTACACGATTCCAAACTAGTCACTTTTATCATGGAATATCTTTTATACCTGAAAAACCAGCTGGCACCAACTCTGGTAACTCAGGCACACCATCAGCAATGCTAACTCAGACTTACATCTATTTCGCAGACAAAGAAATGAACAAGAAATTAAAGAAACTGAACAAAGTGAGCCCTTCATTTCAAGGAAAACTTAAAGTAGTTGTTGAAAATGATCAAAAATTTGAGCTTACCAGCAAAAAGATAACTTTATTCACTTCTATGGGCTTGAGAGTATCCTGACACTTAAAAGCTTTCCTGGTGACAGTAACCAATGTGATTTTTAGGGGCTGGCAGGTGGCGTGGTAGTTAAGGGCACTGGACTTCCACATAGCCG